CCTAAAATGCAAACTTCATTTAGAAAGTCATATGCTACATCCAGAATGGACTACGGATTCTTTTTCAGTTTGTAGAGCTGAATAGCATAATGAATTGGAACCCTCAGTTCTCTCTATTGACGGACTTACTATCAAGGTTGAAAGGAGATGGTGTGATATTTAATTCATAAGTCTCATATTAACTCTTTTAGGATCCTGATCCATGTAAGAAAATGTTTTTGTTTTTATTCCTCATTTCTAAGAACACTGGGAGTTGAAAGTGTCAAAGAAAAAATCAATCTCCTCAAAATTGGGCTGTGATCGTCCAATAAATATTGTCCCTAAACCATGTTACATTCTATTTCTGATTCTAATTTTCAGATGTACAACAAGAGTTTAAATGATGCCAGAACTCCTGGGTACTTACCCATATTTTCTCTAAGCTCCAGGCCTCCTTAGATTCACTCGTGTTTAACAGGCATCAGGACCAGTACATTTAATTGCACCCACATTATCTCTGTTTAACTCTAAGTGGAAAGGAATGGATGCTGCAAACTTTAATATTCAGAAGGCTTGGTCTAGGTTGGCTTTTGACTAGAAGATTGTGTACAGTTCTGGGCTCCAAAGGTCGAAAGACAAGGAGAATTTGGATATAGTTCATTAAAGCCTTATAGGGGTCTGGGAATATTCATCCAGAAGAGAAAATGATAAAGAATATTTTTATGTATTTAAAAAGGTGAGTAAATAAACTTTCATTGAAGAGAGTAAATGTAGAGTTGCTTTAGAATAAAGTGTGGTATTACTCAACTTTGTTGTAAGAAACTGTTTTCTAACATCTATAACTATTGTATCTGGAATTGAAAACTAGGGGTAACTATGAATTCTTCTCTGAGATATATAAAATAGAGTGAGTTTCTGGGACTTGAGTTGATTTAAGTATATTTCATGAAGATGTGTGGTTATATTAGGTATTTTCTGACATTCTTTTACGATTCTACATTTCTAATACTGGTAATCAAATATATAGTGTCTCATAAGTCTACTTAAAAACGAGTGTGATTAAATAAATCTAGAAATCTGATTAAATAAATTGTAGAAAGTGGCATCACATTTATTTCTAAATAGAGAAAATTATGTGTAGTCATCCCTCTAAATAAAAATATAGGAATCAAACTAGTTAACTACAGATTATTCAAGAGTAAAAGCAAAGAGCACACAGTGCAAGATAGACAGCGAAGCTGCACTGGACGGCCTCAGAGAGCCTGTCATAAATAGGCCCTTCACAGATGAACTGAAAACACAGAAAACTAAGCAATCTCCTACAAGGTTACTCATACTGTTAGCCCCAGAAAACATTTTAAAAACATGAAAGTTTTCTTTTGTGCTTCTCTGCACCCCATCTCAAGTTCCCAGCCTCTTTTTACTGCCTCTGGCTGTTCAGAGTCATTCCTAGGAGCACACACGCAGTTCCCACCCTCTCCACCCGAAACACACACCCTTTACTATTACATTTGTTTCACGCATGATGTCTTCAACTCAAAATTTTTTGTCCTGTTTCCCATTATTTTGAGTTAAATTGATTAACCTATACCAAAGAATGATATCATTAACAGGTTACATGTATGTTTCTATAGTGCTTCACCTGCTGAAAATTCTAGGCTACTAGTTAGAAAGAGATTGATGGGGAGTTTTGTTGGCCTGGAATCCTGCAGATCAGGTGCCTGCCTCCTCCATGTGTTGAGACCGGCAAAGATGAACTAGCAAACAATCTGGATTTGCATACTGAAACACCTTTCTGTTCTCTTTCCCCTCTATCAAATACAAACAGGATACATATGTATTTCTAAATTTAAAATTATGCCATTCTCTCAAATAATAATTTAGAATTGATTATTTCTGCTAACTCTTGAAAAGGTTAAAAAATAAGCTATGTCTAACTCATTTAACAAGGATTGCAATACACCGATCTAATCATATGAACGGAAAGGGTTTGTTAATTATGTCTCTATATGGAAAATTTAATTTTCTTTGCTTCATTAATTGACAATAAAGAAAGGTTTTTCGGGGATTTTAAAGAGCATTAATGATAGTTGATTCCAAGAACAGTCACTTATTTCCTGGGCAATTTCAAAAAATTAAAGAGATTTGTTTAGTTTGCCAGGATTTAAAGCTGCAATCAGTTTTTATTTGTCAGAGAACATATTGCTTTTGAGAGCTAGAAGAAGCAATTGCTTTAAAAAAGTCATTTCACATGAGGTTTCTTTGTTGTTGCTGTTATCTGTCTTGTTTTGTTTGATAGAGAGTGTTCAGGTAATATTTAAAAGGTAAAGAACTGTTGTGTAGGGCAGAAATATTTAATAAAATGAGACTATGAAGAATCTCTTCTAGTTTTTATATCTTAACTTTAAATATCATGTGCAGTTTGTATTCCAGAACATATAATCTAATGACACCTAACATTTGTTGTACTTTGCAATCTTTGAAGTGTGTTTACATTAATTCTTTCAACCATTACAACAACCCTGTGAAGTAGAAAGGATGGACTTTATCACCCCTATTTTATAGATGAGAAAATAAAGCTTGGATCTATTGTTCTTACTCAAGAACGCATGGCTCATAAAGACCAGCATTGAGCTCTGGCTGGGTGGTTCAGTTGGTTGGAGCATCTTCCCATATATACTAAAGGTTGTGGGTTCAATCCCCGGTTGGGACCCCTACGGGAGACAACCAATCAGATGTCTCTCTCTCTCTCTCCTCTCCAAAAATCAATGCAAACATATCCTTGTGTGAGTATTTTAAAAAATACACACACACACACACTTTTTTTTTTTTTTAAAGATCAGCATCCAGGGTTTGTTGGGTTTGGTATGTTGTTCTTTTGTTGCCATTTGTTTGTTTGTTTATTGGGTCCTTAGATTTAGTTCCTCGGTAATCATGGTTCTAGATCATTTTTACTGAGGAAACTATATAAGCATTTGGGGGTTTTTCTGCAAGAATCTATCTCTAGCCCAAAAATCTCTAGGTGCCATACACATCGCCCTACACAGCCAAAGGCTGACCAGTCCCTTGTAAACTGTCGTAATTCCCCAAAGGAGGACGAGGATGCAGGGAGATGACATTACTGAAACCACATAGGTCTCTGGGAGAAGCTTTTGGCATCTAAGTTCTCTCCAAAGGTGCTTATAAAAAGAGAAGATGATGGTGTCAAGAAGGGAACTGGCACAACACCGTCTAGTGATTAGGAGGTCTCATTAAAAAAAAGTTCCTAGAAAAAAATCTAAATTTTGTTCACAGGGATACTAAAATATAAGTTCTAATCTACTAAGCTAAATGGTCTAGACAAAGGATTTAGTTAACATTTGGGCTTGCTTGTCAATAGGACCTGGATGTCTAGTCACATTTACGGAGCCTTCACTGTATAACGCAAACTGAAATTCACAGGGCCAGAATCATGCCACGGAAGATGCATGGGCTCTAGAATCACAGTTATCTGTGTTTGTCTGTGTAATTTGTCACTTCTAGTGGAAGAAATTCTGCAAAAATCACTGCACCTCTCTGACACCCACTTTTGTCAACTGTAAATGGCAAATATTTGGCATTCAAGAGGCAATGACTATTTTGGGGGGCTCAAATGAGAGACAAAGGTTACGTGGCTTCACTGTGTTCAAACAGTAACAATACCTGCAGACTCTGAAAGCTGCTCTTTAGTAGTCAGAAAACACCTATAAATCCAGGTGGGCAATGCTTTTCAAAGTTGGCATAGGGAGGTAAGTTCTAGGACACTATGGAAAAGTCTGCCACTGTGAGCACAGTGATGAAAAATTGCTATAAAATCACCTCCAATCTGATATTTCATTATTACTATGTTTACTTACTTGTACTTATTTGTAAATTATAAGTGCATACCATTTACACCTCTTATTCATCCAAATATAACATTTTTAAGTGAGATAATATATTTGAAAATGATTTTAAAATGCTACAGCACTTTAAAGATACAGGATCAAATTAGAATTCTTTGTTTTTAGCAGGAATAAATTTATTTATTTGTTTTTTATCAACTGAACACCTTCCTACATTTGGGCTCAATGATGAATATTCTATTAGAATTTTAGTTTCTTTTCTTATGTGTGGTTCTCTAATAAGAAAGAAATCTGAAAAAGACAATTTTACTCTGATATTCTTAACATGGATAATTTATTACAACCTATATTTAGACTTATGTTTCTACTATTTAAACTTTGTCCACCCTTATTGTTTATGCTTATAAAAATCCAATATCAAGTCCTGCCTGGTTACAAATTAATACCATGATTTTCGCTGTCTTCCTTTACTTGTATCTAAAAAGAGCACATCAAAATCACCTCCATTCAATAAGTAAATAATGTTTTCATGTTGCAGATCATTGTCCTTTATCAGGAATAATCAGCTTTACTTTTTTTTTTTTTTTTTTTTACAGGAAATGGAAAGTAAAACCTCAACAAATGGATGCGATCCTTCATAATGGCTCTCAAATGCACAGTGATGAAAATTGATCTGGTTACTTGTCAACTGCATTATTCAGAGATGACATCACAGCAAAGCTATAGCCAATGCTGGCTCATTGCCCACCCCATGACAACCTTTTATAAGTACAAAACCTGTTCTATAAAGATATAAGCATTTCGAGAGCTGTAATTTGAGCTTTGAAATCTAATTTAACAACTTTCCGCCAGCCTCATTAGTAAGCACTGAACCAAATTCTATATAAAACCTGAACACATGACAGCAAATGCTAACAAAACATTTCATAGCATATCATCACCAGTGTGTCATTCTGGAGGAAAAGCAGGTTGTTGGCTGAGACCATTTCTATAATATTTATTTCTGGTTTTGTTTATGACCCGTTGTATAAACTAACTTGTTAGATTATTGCTAATTGAAATCCAGAATTGAAATCTTTTGGCAATGATATACTCTTTGATGTTATTCTAACAATTCTATTCTGTTCCATCAGTGTGAAACACAGCATGCTTCTTTACCTGGGGGGGTTTGTTCATTGAGAATCACAAGTGATGCTGGTGTAGGTCTTCTTTTCCTGATCTGTGAACAACAAAGGCCCAGCTAAGGTCAGTGAGAGTCAGCCCGGCTCCAGGTCACCCTGCAGCTGACAACGCTGTTCCATCCTCATCTGTTCCCAACATACAGAAGCAAATATCTGGAGGGCACACAGTAGGTGCTCACTAATTTTATTTTATTTTTTATTGTGGGGTTTTGTTTTTTTCTATTATTGTTGAAAGTAATACAGATGTCCCCTTTTCTTAAAATTTTATTTTAAAATATAAAAAGTCAGACAGTAGAACTGTCATCTATGAGTATCACCCTTCTTGACCAAAAAGCTACATTTTCACAGAAAAGAAGTAGCTGTATATAATCAAATGATGCCACCAAAAGTTAATGTGCATTGAAGATAGAGAGATGACTTGTTAATTTTAATGACTCTCTTGGAGCCTCATAATATTGATGATGCTTTCAAGATCCATTACCCTTATTTCTAAATGAGAGAAGCTTAGAAAACTAAAATTTCTAGCAGATTAAATTTAACAGCATGAGTTTTATTTTATTTTAATTAATATCATAAACTTTCCTTATTTTCTAATATAGTATTTAGAATAAATTAGCAAATAAAGAATGAATATGGATCTTATGAGAGTATGTAATTCACTTAAAACTTGATTCCTTAAATATATAGGCAAATTTCTACAGTGTATGTAAGTAGGATAGTAGACAAAATTTACCCATGACATCTTGTCCAAGATAGAACCAATGTCTCTTTCAAGACTGATAGATGTTCAAGGTTGTATTTATCTGGCCCAAGTCTGGGTGAGTCTACTTCAGATTATCAAAACATTCTAGAAAGGTATGAGTCTCATATTTAATAATTATTTTAAAGCATTGTATAGAATATTTGAAAAAAGATTCATGGATAATTTAGGTCTTAAGAAATTAGTGAATTAGGTTGATGACCCTGTAAATTTCTTTGCCTTTGCGTCCCCGTTGCTATAATTTTACCACAAGTGATCTTTTAAGTGGTACCACTGCACCGAGTCTAAGTAAATCTAAATATGAAAGGTAATACAGATGTAAACCAATCACACATGACAGAGACAGAGACAGAGAGAGAAATACTGACATACAGACATTAAACATGGAAAAGTAATCCAGAAAATGTTAGAACACTATTTTTAATATCGGAATAAAATGTTTTTTAAATTCTACATATAACTACAAATCTTATCTCTCATATATCACATATACTTATAATTACTGCTCTGGATATATAATAAAACTTTAAAATATAAAGTCTATAATCTGAAATTATTCTAAGATGTAATTTTTTCATTGTTTAATTTTTTTATTTTATAAATAATGAAATTAAATGTTGTAATTTTTAGAATTTGTTTTAAGTTTCTCTGAATGTTGAAATTGTTATTTTAATAAGCAAGAGCAAAGAGATTTTTGGGTCCAAATCTGAATTGCTAATATAATCATTTTTCTCTACCAGGTGCTAATTTGCTATCACATGAAGTGCTGCATTTTAACCAATAGTGCCCCCGTGCAACTCAAATACAAGTATATATGGAAATCAATTTATTTCTCACTCACTTATCCTGGAAATCTACAAAGTTAGGCAAATTCAAGAGGCAGAGAAGCCTTCAATTAATAACAGGAATGTATGTCCATGTTCCTTTATTTCCAATAATGGGTCCCTGTCCAATTCCACTTACCTGCTCTGCCGCTTCGGGTGCAATCTGACTCTGCAGTAAAGGCACCACAAATTGTATCTTTTTGGGACTGTTGGGCTCCATGGTGATGATGAGAATTAGTCAGAGATGCGAAGGGCTCAGAAAGACTAACCCCAGGTGGTGTCTGGGATGTGTTTCCTCGGGCGCACTCCACCCAGCCACACGGAGAGCTTGGTAATAAATAGCTGTAATTCCAGAATGAGCGAGTGAAGATGCCCAGGTCTGAGTAACTCCCTCTTCAACATCCACAGTGATGTCTGGCTTGACTGTTCTCTCACCAATCTCTCGGACCTGTCAGCACAATACAGAAAGGAATAATAAGCTAACTGTGTACCTCTTCACTAACACACATGCCAAACATTCACTCAGCAGCTCATTGAAAATGCAGTGCTAGCCTTGAAGGACCCGCTGCCCTGGGATTTGAAAGAAAGGCTCTATCCACTCTACATTACTAACCGGCTGCTCAAAAGTGCAACGTAAGCTCCCTCTGAGTACTGCAGGGATGGGCCTTTCATTATTGATGAACAGAAAGCAGGAAGTTTTTAGAGGTGGGGGCATGGTTTGAGTATGGAATCATTTCATTTCTCTTGCAGCAACTTATAATTCAGACACCCTTGCTATTTTATATTCAGCCACCAAATAGATGAATGGCCACAGAGGGTACGCCACAACCAATAGTATCTGCTGGTTCAGTGAGACTGATCACAGCCGGCAGAGCATGGGTGGTGTAGCAGGACAGCATTGCCACCCGCTGAGCAGAACTGTCAGGTTCCATCTCTCCCATTGACAAGCTCTGTAGCCTCAGGCAAATCACAGGCTGCGTGGAGGCCCCGTACCCTCCTCAGAAAAACAGGGGGCTGGACTCAGTGACCTTTAAGGTCTGGTTCTGTTTCAACATTCTATAATTGTAGTTCACAGTTTTCATTAGAGTGGAAATTATTGGACAGCTAAATTTAGCAAACAGCTTGGAAGTCACTGCTGCTGCAATGACCTCTGTTTTATCTTCTGGCGGAGCTGGTTGTGCCCTCGGATTTGGAAGGCTACAGAAGGGCCTAGAAAATGTTAGTGGAAACATAATGGTATCCAACAGTGTGTTTTGTGGTCCGTATTGGGGATATGTGCAAAGATAAGGAAAGAACTTGAAAAAAAGTATAAAAGGGGTAATCTCCAGAACGATAGAGGATGATGGTCACATTGACTAGTGGTGAAGGTAGAGAGAGAGAGGAGCGTGGCCTGCTCCCCACGTCTGTGCGTGGTCAAGGGGAGGCAGGAACGTGGTCGGATGGCCTTCATGCATCCGACTCCTTCTGTGAAGGGGGCCTGAAAATGAAGCAGCTTTAATGGAAGAAAGAGCATGGGTTTTCTACTGCCTTATTTGAAACATATTATTTAGTAAATAATATGTTTTTGGATTTATTTTTCTTACGTTTTGGGATTTGTATAATACATTTAGACATCGACTACTATTCCAGTTATTAACAAACGTAGTTTTCTTTCCTTCTTTTTAAATTCTGAATCCATACCAGGAATCCATCTTCATGATTTGAAGTATGCAACATTCCGTAGAAAGAATATAGGAAGTAATATGCATTTTTCAAGTAGATTTCCATACCCACCAGGGATAAAAGCAAATGAAGATGCGGCTGTGAAAGCATTTTTAGTTGGAGAACAGTGCTGACCAGCAAGAAATGCTGTGATGGGTTCACTCTTCTGGTGTCGAAGGAAAACATAAATAACATTACCCGCAACAGCTTAGAAAGGCCCTAAAAGAAATCTGAATTAGTATTATTCATTAAGTCATTTCTCTGAATATGTTTTCAAATTATATAAAAGACAAACAAGAAAGTGCTTCTAGTGAGGAATTAATTCAGTGTAGTAGTTAAGAGCACGATTCACTTTTGCAGCCTTGAGTTCAGACCCTGTCTCTGACACCTACTCATTTTATCAACATAGGCAGAAGTAGAACTTTCTATATGTGAGGTTTAAATGAATTAATTTTTAAAGGAGCTCATTTCAAGTCCAGCACATGATAACCACTCAGTAAAAGATAGCTATTACTTTTCCTTCATTAGATATCAGGATAATAGGTGATACAGTAAAAAGCTAGGTATGCATTATTATATAAATATTAACAAAATAATCCTCATTAACTGATTGCTCTATTTTGAATAGTTTGACCAGAAAAAATATATTGTAAATGGATTATGCAGACCCTTTAAGCTTCTTCTTCACCAGGCCAACTCCTGTGTACCCTTCCGAACTTGGCTGAGGATAATCACCTCTAAGAAAATTTATAGGTTTATTCATACCCATACTGAGTTTAGACCCACCTTTTCATTTAAAAATATTTTTCTTTACTGGTTTTAGAGAGAGGGGATGGGAGAGGAAGAGAGAGACAGAAACACTGATGAAAGAGAACATCGATTGGCTACCTCCTGCATGCCCCCCACTGGGGATCGGGCCCACAACCTGGGCATGTGCCCTGACCAGGAATCTAACTGGTCACTGAGTGCTTGGTGCATGGGTCTGGTGCATGGGTCTATGCTCAACCACTGAGCCACACCAGCCGGGCTAGACTCACCTCTTCTGTGTTCCCAAAACACCCACCATACCTCTACTTAGTACAATAACTATCTGACCTTTTTTTTAACTGTTTAGCATTTGAAAGGCCACTCATTCACATAGCAAATATTTGTTGTGTAGATATTATAGTTTACTCCCTGCCAGGCCTTTTGCTAGGGCATTAGAGAAGAGACTGTGTTCACAGGTGTTTGAGGGCCTTTTAAAGCTAAATTCTTATTCTAAGAGTCACTTAAAATATAACTTAAATTCGAAATAATCTAAATTTTTTGGTGTGTTTATATGGGGAGTGTAATTATACTAAACATTAGGTGTACATTTGTCTCCCTGTTAGAGATCATAGTAATAGCTACCCTTATATGACACTTGCTATGTACCAGGCACTACTGTAAATGCTTTACCTGCATTGATTTATTTACTACTCATAACAACCCTTGGGATAGATGCTCTTGCCATCCCCATTCCTAATTTAAAATGAGGAAAATTAGAATCAGAAAATTTAGGCAATTTGCCCAAGGTCCTCCAGCTAATATATGACAGAGCCAAGATTCAAACACAAGCAATTTTGCCTAGAGCCTGGGCTTTTAATCATGATGGCTACTATAAAATAAAGGCCTACAGAGAAGTCGGTGGAGGGCACCAGCACCTCTACAACAGGTAGATGTTCAGAGCTCTATGTTAAAAAATCTTAAGATAACATGGTATATGAATAAAAGGGGGGAAAAACTAGCATGATTATAGGATACTAGTAATCAAGAAAATCTCACATTTCAAATTAACGATCACTGTGCCATGAATGATCTAGATGGAGTTGGGTATTATGTCACCAAGCTGACTTAAAAGAAGCTAGCTTTACATTTCTTTCTGTTTTTTGGTTTTTGTTTTTTTTTAAGTAATGGATTCTATCATTAAAGATGAAAACTGCCTCTAGAACAAGCAATAACTATAGTCTCTCTTCAAGGTAAGTAATACTGTGATCAATGAAGTGAAATATTAGAAAAAATAAGCCATTAGGCCTTCCTGATTTTACTCTGTAGTATCTGACCCTGTTTCCACAGCTTCCTGAAGACTCCCATACCGGCCGTGCTCCGCCCCCCGCCACCTGCCTTTCCGGGGCTCCTCCTACCTTCCTGAGAAGCTTTCCTGCCTTCCCTCCTTTTATCCAAATTGGATTCATCCTCTAATTCTGCCTCCACAGGAAGGCACAGTCAGATCCTCCAGACAAGAGAAATCATTCCCTTTTCTTCTCTCCTGGTATTTAATTATATGTAGTTTTGCGTTACTCGATAACAATTTCTTATGTATTCCTTTGCCTCCACCTTTAGACAGCAAAGCCTTTTTCATCCATCTTAAACGTAAACAAACAAGACGTTGGCCACTTGGAAGCTACTAAATAACTCCACTTAGGCTTCATCTACCTGATCTTGTCAGAAAACAGAAGGTGTTCCAACATACTGGATTTTCCCCAGACTGCAGCTCATCCTTTTAAGCATCACACCTTGCTTTTATTTTAGTATTTTAAGGGGCACTTAAAATATATTTTATATTTTTCTGCCTTTTAAAAGAGGATGTATCAAATATAATTTGTCCTTTTCCTTTACTTTGCAGCATTCATATAAACATCAGTCATTGTCCTCTGTCACAAAGATGCCATCCAGAGAACTGGTATTTCTTGCTACCCCAGCTGTCTCCATATTCCATCCATACATACTTCTGATGCTGCTTTCGAGTTTTGAGGTATCTTAAGGTTGCTAATAGTCATATTTTAATTGTCATTTGTCTTAGTTTTTTTAGGCTAAAATATCAGAGACCAATGACTGATAAACAACAAACAATTATTTCTCACAGTTTTGGTGTGAGATTTGGTGTCTGGTAAGATCCTGCTCTCTTGACAGCATCTTTCTGCTGTAACCTCACATGGCAGAAGGGGCGATGGAGCTCTGGGTTCTCTAACGTAAGGGCACTAATCCTATTCATGAGGGTTCTGCCCTCATGACCTAATCACCTCTCAAAGGCCCCACCTTCTAATACCATCACATTGAGGATTAGAATTACAACATATGGATCTTGGGGGGGACCATGAACATTCAGTCCATCACATTCACCTGACATATAAGTGCTTGATTTGTGAAAAGAGGAAAGAAAAGAAAAAGGAAGGGGAGGGGAGGGGAGGGGAGGGGAGGGGAGGGGAGGGGAGGGGAGGGGAGGGGAGGGGAGGGGAGGGGAGGGGAGGGGAGGAAAGCGTTTGCCAAGAAAATCAAATATTTTTTTACTCCTTAATATAGCTCCTATTCAAAACTATATCTTGAGTTTTTAAACCTTGAAATATATACAAATACATATATGCAATACTATTTTGTTTGACATTTGGTTGATGAACTGCATATCACCAAAAATAATAGCAAATATTTATTAAGCATGCCTACCGATAGGTAGGACTACATTAAAAGCTGGCAATACCATAATGAACATAAGCAGAAACCATATTATAGTGTCTAGATACATGTCAGTTGAGAAGATGTCAAGCCCTGCCTGGTCAATGTGGCTCAGTGGTTTGAGTGTCGTCCCATGAACTGAAAGGTCCCTGTTTGACCCCCAGTCAGGGCACATGCTCAGGTTGCAGGCTTGATCCCCAGCAGGGAGCGTGTAGGAGGCAGCTGATGGATGTTTCTCTCTCTCCCTCTCTCTCTAAAAAAAAACAGTAAAACATTTTGTAAAAAAAAAAAAAAAAGA